CAAAAAAAAATCGCGTACGCTTGGTTTGCATCGGATTTAAGTCATTTGTGTCCAAAGGATAAATATCTTTTGAAGAAGCTGCAGCAAAAAACAAAGCTTGTAAATATTTATTAAGAAAATAATTCAAAATCAGTTCTACTTACAAGATTTAGTAACAGGAAAAAATTACCGGGAAGTTAAAAACGCCATTTTTGCACAAAAAACGTCCGAACATCAACAAGATACAAAAAACGTCCAAATGACGTTAAAAACGTCAACCTGGCAGCGCTGGTGACAACTCTCATGCAACGCAAAGTAAAATCGTATATCCATTCATTATTTCATCTCGTTGAAGAAGTGGTAAACACAATAATCTCGCATACATGGATCGTCTTGGATTTCGGAGCATTGATGGTTTTTAAAAAAGTTTTAAGCGGAATTACCTTATTCTGCGCCAAAAATCGATCGATGATAATAATTTCAAGACATAACTTCCATGGAACTTATATCATGGTTCGATGGAAGTTATGTCCGTTTAAGTTATATATGTCGAAACCTATTTAGTTCTAGGACTTAACATTTTAAATAAAAACTCATTTCATCTTGTAGGTGACCATAATCATTATCTTTTCGCCTTCGTTTGTGTACAAGAGATTTATGAGGGGCCCAAAGATCGAACGACTCGCTACCCGTTTTCATAATCACCCTCATTGCGTAAGTCGTAAATTAGACAAAATTTCACGACTCGACAAGACTGGCATTCGACATGGCAGCACTTTTGTCGCATTGTGTAAAGTATTCGATACGGCAACGTCGAGAAATAAACGCCATTTTTACAATTACCGTTCTATTTGTCGAGGAAATAACTATTAGTGCGTAATTTTTAAAATGAAAGTGACGAATAAACAACAATTTGAAGAAATGGTTGGATATTTAGTAGAAAAACCTTTACTGGCTATGGGTTGGAATAAAGAGCTAACCAAAAGCCAAGTAAAAGCCGAGTGGGAAAAAATTGCAACCAAATGCAACAGCTTAGGCCCCCCCAGTTCGTGATGGGAGCGGTTGGCAAAAGGTTATAAATGATAAAGTTGGAATAACTCTGAATATTACTGATTATCTTACTTTATTTTTTCAAACAAATAAAAATCAAATAGGTTTGGCATGATTAAAAATATGCAGTAAAAAGCAAGCTGCGCCATAACGCTTCCGAATCAAGGGCTACAGGAGGTGGAATTTTTACGCAGCGTATTCTTTCTCCACTAGAGGAGTCTGTGGCTAATTTGGTTCAATTTAATAAACAAATTAATCCCGGAGGGTTAGCATGTTTTACACCACCAGATGACCAACCGTGCACAAGCTCTCAAGTTTTAAACGAATCAAATGTAGACCGTAATACTTCAGAGTCTATAGAAATAATCTCCAACGTTATAATTTATGACAGTGATGAAAATAGAGAGAATATTCCATCCTCAAGAACAAACTCAACGAAAACACCCCCGGCACCAAACAAAGAAAGGCTAACCCAAAAGAAAACATCTTCGGCGACGAACCGGGAACTTTTACTTCAAAAGCAAACTGAAGTACAGAGTAATTTGTATGAAGATGTGAAAAACTCACTTAAACGTATAGAAGGCCATTTGAAAGAAACAGAGCGCTACGAAAGAAAGCGATTCAAATTAGAGGAGGAACGCCTAAGACTTTACAAAAAAGAACTGGAGCAAAATGAAACTCAACGCAAAATCAAAAATCAACAAAGGAAAGAAAAGATACTCCTTAAACAGGAAAAACTAAAAATACAAAGAATGAAGTTAAACATTTTGGAAAGAAATAATTAAAAAAGTAGTCTTAAGAGTAATTTTGAATTAACACTTTTATTTTACACTTTATGAATAAAAAAAAGACTGAATTGCAAAACATAAATAAGTTTTAATTAATCAGAGTGTTCATTAGTGAATTTCTAATGTTTGCAGCTGTTAAATCCTCAGGTGGCAGTGACGTCGTGTCTATACTTGTTTCTTCACTATCTTCATTTATGGTCGTCTCCTGTGCAACTTCTCCTAAATGTATACAAATATTGTGCAAAGCTGCACATATATTTATAATCGATTTCGCCTTATTAAAATCGTACATTAATCGCTGAGAGCTCAAAAGGCAACGGAAACGATTTTTCATCACACCAATAGTTCTCTCAACAACGTTTCGAGCCCTTGAATGGCACTTATTGAATGTACTTTGGTGTGTACCTTCTCCTGCGCTTCTATATGGAGTTATCAAAAACGGCTCTAATGGGTAACCGGCATCTCCTTAAATAAAGATGTTGCAGTTTATTAAAACAAATTGGAAGTTTTAAAATACCTAATAACCAAGTATTGTGCTCTCCGTTATTATATTGGGCTTGTAAATATGACCTTATGTCACTTGATCTCCAAATGAGTGAGTCATGACATGATCCAGGATATCTCGGGTCTATGCTCCTAATTCGCATTTTGTGATCACATACCTTTAGTGCAAAAAAAAAAATTAGGTAGGATAGAAATGTTTAATGCCACTTACCACCATTGTGTTTAAACTATAAAAACCCTTCCTGTTGTAGAAATGTGGGCGTTCTTCAGCACTTGGAGTTCTTATTGCTATGTGCGTTCCATCAACACATCCTATTACGCCAGGGAGACGAAACTTTGTATAAAAATGCTCTTTTATTTGTAATTTTTTCGTCGTTGTCTGGCATTTTTATCCACTTGCAGCAAAGTTTCTCCTCCATTAAAGGTATCAACTCTTTAATGATGAGACTGACGGTTGGTTGAGCGAGGCCTAGATTAAACTGGTTTCCAGCTCCATGCTGGTAGCTGCCCTTGGCCAAAACGTTCAAAGTGGCAGCTAATTTTATGGCTGGTTGCACAGCAGTACTACGAATTGCGTCTGGTAATGCAATTTCTTCCAGTACTAACTGAAATGCTTGCTTCGAAAGGCTGAAATTTCGCACAAACCTGAAAAAAGTTAAACAACATATAAACACTCGCATATGTACATATGCATTTTCAGAAAAA